CCCTGCTAGCTGCCTTCCTCCCAAGACAGCATAAACTCACCTGTGTACTTCTCCTAGGAAAAGGATCTGGAGGATCTCAGCTCAAGGCCAGCTTAGGCAAAAAAAAGTGAGATCATATGTTAATCAATAAACTTGCATCTCAATGATAGGGGACGTATAAAGAGGAGCAACGTGGCCCAGGCTGGCCTAGACATAAATTCAAGGCCTATTTAAAAAATACTTAGGGCTGGGAAGGTGTCTCAGTGGTAGAGCGCTTGCCTTGCATGCCTGAGGCCCTGGGTTTGATTCCTCAGCACCACATAAGCAAAAAGAAAAAAGCCGGAAGTGGCGCTGTGGCTCAAGTGGTAGAGCACTAGCCTTGAGCTGAAGAGCTGAGGGACAGCACCCAGGCCCAGAGTTCAGAGGCAACGACCGGACCCAAAAAATTAAATAAAAATAAAAAAAAATAGGGGCTGGGAACGTGGCTCAGTGGATAGAGTGCTTGCCTTGCATGCATGAGGCCCTGGGTTCGATTCCTCAGCACCACATAAGCAGAAAAAGCTGGAAGTGGTGCTGTGGCTCAAGTGGTAGATCACTAGCCTTGAGCTGAAGAGCTGAGGGACAGTGCCCAGGCCCAGAGTTCAGGCACCATGACTGGCAAAAATAAATAAATAAATAAATACTTAAAGGGCCAGGCACCGGTGGCTCACGCCTGTAATCCTAGCTACTCAGGAGGCTGAGTTCTGAGGATCACGGTTCAAAGCCAGCCTGGGCAGAAAAGTCTGTGAGACTCTTATTTCCAAATAACCACTAGAAAACTGGAAGTGGTGCTGTGGCTCAAGTGATAGAGTACTTGCCTTGAGCTGAAGAGCTGAGGGACAGTGTCCAGGCCCAGAGCTCAAGCCCCACAACCGACAAAAACAAAACAACAACAAAAAAAACTTAAAGGGCCTGGGAAGGTGGTAGAGCGCTTGCCTTGCATGCACGAGGCCCTGGGTTCAATTCCTCAGCACCACATAAGCAGAAAAAGCTGTGGCTCAAGTGGTAGAGCACTAGCCTTGAGCTGAAGAGCTGAGGGAAGCGTCCAGGCCCAGAGTTCAGGCACTAGAACCGACAAAAATAATGCTTAAAGCAGCCAGGTGCTGATGGCTGACGCCTGTAATCCTAGCTATTCAGGAGGCTGAGATCTGAGGGTCACACTTCAAAGTCAGCCTAGGCAGGAAAGTTCCCAGGAGATTCATCTCCAATTAGCTACCAGAAAACCAGAAGTGGCACTGTGGCTCATGAGGCTCAGAGCTCCTAGCCTAGCCCCAAAGTTTAAGCCCCAGGACTGATGAAAAACAAAAACATAAAGCAAAAAGGTCTGGGGCATGCCTCAAATGATGGAACTCCTGCCTCGCAAGATCAAGGTCCTGAGTTCAAACTTCAGTACTATCAAACCACTGAAACAAATCAAAACAACTACCCACCCAAGTGATATAACAATGTCACCTTTTAATTAGGAATACAGAATACAGAAATAGAAACTTTTGGATATATTTTTGAGACAGAGTCTCAATGTGTGTGGGTATGTGTGTATGTGTATGTGTGTGCGTGCCCAGCTTGAAATTTGTGTGTGGGGGGGGGAGCTTGTGGGGCTTGAACTCTGGGCCTGGGTGCTGTCCCTCAGCTCTACCACTTGAGCCACAGCACCACTTCCGGCTTTTTCTGTTTATGTGGTTCTGAGGAAGCAAACCTCATGCACGTGAGGCAAGCACTCTACCACTGAGCCACCTTCCCAACTCCAGAGCTTGGAACTTTTTAAGACAAAACCATCCTTAGAAACATTCATTTACAGCCAGTTCAGAGATATTAAGGAGGCTAGGGATGGTGATATACACCTGTAATCCAAGCACTGGGGAAGCTGATGCAGGAGGGTCCAAAGCTAAGAGGCCTAACTGGGCTACAGTGAGAGATCTTATTTCAAAACAACTCCCCCCATTCAAAAAAAACCCTAGAAATTAAAAAAAAAAAAAGAGCAAAAGACAAAAGATGCACCTTGGAAAAATAGAGTAGGAGGCATGAATCAAGTGGTATAGTACGTGCTTAGCAAATGCAAGCCCCTGTGTTTAGGCCTAGTTCTGTATGTATGTATGTATGTATGGTCAGTAATGGGGCTTGAAATCTGGGCCTGAGGGTTTTTTGTTTTTTTTTTCCAGAAGGCACGTGCTCTACCACTTGAGCTACAGCACCTCTTCTGGTTTTCTGGTGGTTAATTGGAGAGAAGACTTTCCTTCCTGGGGCTGGGAAGGTGGCTTAGTGGTAGAGTGCTTGCCTTGCATGCATGAGGCCCTAGGTTCAATTCCCCAGCACCACATAAGCAAAAAGAAAAAAGCCAGAAGTGGCGCTGTGGCTCAAGTGGTAGAGCCCTAGCCTTGAGGTGAAGAGCTGAGGGACAGCGGCCAGGCCCAGAGTTCAGACCCACGACCGGACTCCACCCCCCTCCCCCAAAAAAGACTTTCCTTCCTGGGCTGGCTTTGAACAATAATCCTCAGATCTCCGTCTCCTAAGTAGCTAGGCTTACAGGTGTGAGCCACCAGTGCCTGGCTTCCTAGTATTGTATTAAAAACAAAACAAAAAGCAAAACAAAAAAAACTACTAGTGGGCTCGAGTTACAGCCCAGTGTTGGTGTATTTAGCCTGCCCACGCCCCTGAATTAAAAAAAACCCCATAAAACCTTTTGCTTAGTAGTAAAAATAGGATACAAGGGTGCGGACGGCATTTCAAGGACAGTCCCCACCCTGACCTTTCCACAGTGCAGTGGGGAGGAGAGGAGAGTAGGGTTTACTGATATAGATTGTTCTAGAACATTGCTGACCTTGCCATTCCGGATCTTCCTGTTGTATAAGCATCCATCTGCTCTATCTACCTTTCTATCAATTAATTGATCTATTGACCTATGGACCTATCATCTGCCTACCTACTTAGGCCTTGTGCACTCTGGGTAAAACACTCTGCCGCTGAGCTACATCCTCAGACCATCTTGTGCAATGATCCAATGAGGGCCAATTAGCATTTCCACCTCCTCAAGCATGATTTCTACCCTTCGGTGATATGTTCCCTTCTAAGGTTTTTGCTGAGCCAAGACCGAAGAACCCTGGACATTTGGATCTGCAGTCTGAGGATCCCCAGGGCTACGGCTGTTGACTCCTAGTGGTTCCAGACTCCCCCCTCCCCTCCATCCCCAATAAGGGATGCTTGGTTAAGACAGTAGGTAACATCCCTGATGTGTGTTTCAGGAGAGGCCATGGTCCATCACCTACTACTGGGCAGTTAGCCGAGGGGGAACGGTGGAGGAAGCCCCCTCCTTGTCAGCTCCCTGGTGGGCAGGGTCCCAGATCCACGTGGCTTTGCTGTCTGCTTGGCTCCTGCTTTTGCCTCTTAGCATTTCCTGACCTCAGCCCAGCCATGAAGGACAGGCAGCCCCCTCTGACTTTCCATCTCAGCCAGAAAGGATAAAAATGGAGGTGGGGAGACAAGATTTGGAGGGATTTGGGAGTAAAAGTTCTCACCCCTCACTCCTTGATCCCTCAGACACAGTACAAGGGTCAGGCACCATTGGGTCACACCTGAAATCCTAGCTACTCACGAGGCGGAGATGTGAAGATGGAGACAGCCCAGACAGGGCTGGGAAGGTATCTCAGTGGTAGAGTGCTTGCCTTGCATGCATGAGTCCCTGGGTTCGATTCCTCAGCATTACATAAGCAGAAAAAACCTGAAGTGGTGCTGTGGCTCAAGTGGTAGAGCACTAGCCTTGAGCTGAAGAGCTGAGGGACAGCGCCCAGGCCCAGAGTTCAGGCCCCACGACCAGACCCCCCCCAAAAAAAACCCAAAATACTCTTAAAACACAAGTAATCAGCAAAAAGCCAGAAGTGAAGCTGTGGCTCAAGTGGTAGAGCATGAGCAAAAAAAAACCTACGTGTGAAAGACCTTGAGTTCAATTCCTAGTACTCATGTACAAAAGTGCACACACACACACACACACACACACACACACACAGTCACAGGGTCTGAAGCTGAGCGAAGATTCTAAGGTTTCCATGAGGTCTCAGAACCACCAAAGAAGCTGCCCCCCTCCTTCCCCAGGAGACGTCCCAAGCACATGCTACCCACCTCCCCCAAAGCCCTGCTCTGTCCACTCCAGAATGAAACACCTCAAGGAGAAATTCTACCACTGAGCCAAGTGGTAGAATTCTGGAACACTCTGTGGGGTCTGGTCTGGCTTGGGTGCCCACTGCTTTGCCTTAGGGTAGTCTCCCCCATGACGGGTATAATTTCCTCCTCAGAGTGGATCATTAACTTTACTAAGAGCCCTTGTTTTGTACCCGCAGGCTCTGGGGCTGGCTGGGGTTGGAAATGTGGAGGTGTTTGCCACCGGGGTGGTGGGGCGGAGACCCCAGCCATGGCAGAAACAGACTTTCACGCGGACTTCCACACGCTTGGCTGGGCAGACGGGCTGGTGGAGGCCCGCCGGGGGACGGAACTTCCTGGGGGGGGAGGAGGGGAGTAGTTTAATCAACTGGGATGGGATCTGCCGGCCCGCACGGGCGGTGGGAGCCTAGGCTGGGGCCTTCGGGTCTCAGCCCGGTAGTCTTGGGTCTGAGATCGGCCTGGCTTCCTCAGCCCTGGAGGAAACCAGAATTTAGATAGGGTCTCCCCCTCCCACCTGCCCCCTAGTGGCATCTCTCCGTCTGGGCTCCTGGGGAGGGAGGCCCGGAGCGAAGCCACCTGGTCCAAGCCATTCCCAGACTTCCAAGCCTTAAGGGTTTTCGGGGGGGGGGGGGGAGGCAAGCCCCCCCAGTTTGGAGTGACAAGAATTGGCCTGGAAACCAAGCCACCGGGGGGCCTTGGCTGGGGTGGAGGATGGGTCGTAGGGTGGAGCCTCACAGCCGGAACCTCCCCTCTCTGGAGGCCACTTGGCCTGTCCAGCTTAAGAGTCCTGCTTTATTGATCGGCCTTCTGAGCAAGTGGGTGGCGCGTGGCTAGGCTTCGGGGCGCTGCTTGAGCGTGACAGAAGCCCCGCTGCTGACCATGACAGCAGGGTAGAGAGGCTCCAAGAAGGAGGCCAGGAAGTGGTAGAGGAGGCTGACGCCGCCGGCCACCCCGTAGAAGGACAGGCAGCCGGCGGCGCAGTCCAGAGACACGCCGAGCGTGCGGTGGTAGGCGCCGTGCAGCACGGTCTGCGTGTTGTTGTGCCACACGGAGAACTTGAGCGAGTCCCACTCCAGGCACCAGGAGTAGGGGTTGCGGCCGAGCAGGTAGAAGATGCTGCGGCAGGTCCGGCTGCTGGGAGCCAGGCTGCGGCGGTAGGTGACCCCCAGACACATCCACGAGTTGGACACCTCGGCTTCCCAGTAGTGGCGGCCTTCGGACAGGCCGCGGGAGCACAGCACCTGGGGCCACTGCTTGAAGCCAGGTATGGGGCCGCCGGGGGTTGAGGGATCCAGGACCACGCCCAGATTCAGTACTGAATTTGTCTCCTTGAACAAGAACAGATCTTCACTGGCTGAGGAGGGGTCAAAGCTCAGGTTGCAGTAACCTAAAGGGTACAAGGGGCGGTGGGGGAGAGGGGCGGGAATTGGGGTTGAGCCAGGGTCAGATATGGGGAGGAGGTAAGCCTCCCCAACTTTAGAGGCCATTACCTAAAGGATCTGTTTGGGAGAGGTTGAGACTAGGAACTCTTTACACCCACCTCCCCCAAGAACCTAACTTTCTCTCCTGTTTTGTGTCAGTACTGGACTTGAACTCAAGACCTTGTACTCTCACTTGGTTTTCTTTCTTTCTTTCCTTTCTTTTTTTTTTTTTTTCTGTCGGTTGTGGGGCTTGAACACTGGGCTTGGGCGCTGTCCCTCAGCTCTTCAGCTCAAGGCAAGCGCTCTACCACTTGAGCCACAGCACCACTTCTGGCTTTTTCTGCTTATATGGTACTGAGGAATGGAACCCAGGGCCTCATGCATGCTAGATAAGCGCTCTACCACTGAGCCACCTTCCCAGCCCATCACTTGGTTTTATTCTCTTGAGTGTCACTGACTTTTCTGTCTTTGAACTAGGGTCCTCAAATCTCAGCCTCCTGAGTAGCGATGATGACAGGCACTGAGGGAGATTGAAGGGTTCCTGGAGGAGGTGACCCAGAAGGGGACCTCAAAGACAACACAACCTCGACTCGCAAGATCTCAGAGAAACCACAGAACCCAACCTGGAAGAGACTCATTGGAGAACTTAGGGCAGAAGAAGAAATGACCAGAGCTCATCCAAGCTGGCATGGCTAAAAGCCCAAGGGGGTTAGCCTGCACCAAATGGAGGACAGAGCCCATCGTGCAACACAAGATAGAGAGAGCCAGGCACCAGTGGCTCACGCCTATAATCCCAGCTACTCAGGAGGCTGAGATCTGAGGATCGCAGGTCCTAGCCAACAATGGGGCAGGAACATCCATGAGACTCATCTCCAATTAACCACCAAAAAGCCTGAAATGGAACTGTGGCTCAAGTGGTAGAGTGTTGGCTTTGAGCACAAAAGGTCTGGGACAGGGCCTAGGCCCCAAGTTCAAGCCCCAGGTCTAGACTAAAACAAAAACAACACAAAGTGATAAAGAGAGACACAGCAGACTTGGGCAGGGCGGTACACAGTCTCCTACCTACTCCTAACCAGTGCCCTGGGCCCAGAAAAGTTCTTTTGAGATGTCCCAGTCTGGAGGGAGAGGTTAGGTAAGGGAGACCAGGCATTTCCTTGGAGGCCCTGGCCTAAGGGCAGTCATGGGGCCTGAACTCAGCCTGGGCACTGACCCTCAGTGCTTCAGCTCAAGGCTGAGCCACAGCGCCACTTCCGGCCTTTTCTGTTTATGTGGTGTTGAGGAATCGAACCCAGGACCCCATGCATGTGAGGTGGGCACTCTACCACTGAGCCACCTTCCCAGTTCCCCCCTGTTCCCCCTCCCTGTTCCTTGAGGCCGCACCTAGTAGGGAGGACTCACACTGGAGGAGCTCTTTCTTGTCCACAGCCGGAGGCAGCACATCATAGGAGTTCATCTTAATGCCTGCAGGAGATGGGAGGCCTTTGCTGAGCACCCCTCTCACCAGCCCAGCGTCCTTCCGGAGAGGGGAGCGAGCATCCTGGAGGTTGCATCCCCCGAGGAAGGTGCACACAGGCAGGCAGGGCTCCTACAAGCACCACCCGCCCCAGGGATGCAAGCCGCAGCTGGCAGGGACTGACCCTTCTGAAGGAGCTGGTTGAGGAAGCTGAGCCCTTTGTCCTTCAGCTGGGTGCAGAGCTCGGCCAGTGTCTCGGGCAGCTGCAGGAAGCTCTGTGTCTCCTCATAGTTGGTGCCCACCAGGGGCTCTAAGAACGCAGGGAGGTGTTTCAGCCTAGGGAACTCCTGGCACGTGGGGAGGGGAAGATTGGTGCCAGCGTTAGTCACCGCCCTGGCAGATGCCAAGGGTTTCCTCTGATGCTAGAGGCTAATTGACTCTCAGAACCACAAGCAGGTAGAAGACTTGCCCATTTTCTTTCTCTTTTTGTGGGTTGTGGGGCTTGAACTCTGGGCCGGGCACTGTCCCTCAGCTCTTCAGCCCAAGGCCAGCATTCTACCATTTGAGCCATGGCGGCGCCACTTCTGGTTTTCTGGTGGTTTGTTGAAGATAAGTGTCTCATGGACTTTACTGTCCAAGCTGGCTTTGAACTGGGATCCTCAGATCTCAGCCTCCTGAGTAGCTAGGATGACAGGCGTGAGCCACTGGTGCCCGGCTGTGAGACTCTTATCTCCAATAAACCACCAAAAAACTGGAGGTGATGCTGTGGCTCAAGTGGTAGAGTGCTAGCCTTGAGCTGAAGAGCTCAGGACAACGCCCAGGCTCAGAGTTCAAGTTCCACGACTAATAGAAAAAAAAATGTCCAGGAAGTTGAGAGCAACTTGAAAAAGAAAGTCTGAGTTGGGCGCTGGTGGCTGTCACATGTAATCCCAGCTACTTAGGAGGCTGAGATGTGAGGCTTGTGGTTTGAAGCCAGCTCCAATTAATCATAGAAAAAGTTGGAAGTGGTGCTGTGGCCTCAAGTGGTAGAGTGCTAACCTTGAGCAAAAGGGAGCCCAGGGACAGTGCCCTTTTCAAGTATTCAAGCCCCAGAACCAGCAAAAAAAAAAAAAAAGAGGTCTGAGCTGGGCACCAATGGCTCACACCTGTAATTGTAGCTACTCAGGAGGCTGAGATCTGAGGATCACAGTTTGAAGCCAACCTCGGCAGACAAATCCATTGAACTCAGGTCCTGGGCACTGTCCCTGAACTGATCTGTGCTCAAGGCTAGCACTCTACCACAGCATTGCTTCTGGCCTTTTCTGTTTATGTGATATTGAGGAATTGAACCCAGGGCGTCGTGCATGCTAGCAAACACTCTACCACTAAGTCACATCCCCAGCCCTCCTTAAGACTTTTTTTTTTTTGGGTCCGGTCATGGGGCCTGAACTCTGGGCCTGGGCGCTGTCCCTCAGCTCTTCAGCTCAAGGCTAGCGCTCTACCACTTGAGCCACAGTGCCACTTCCAGCTTTTATTCTTTTTGCTTATGTGGTGCTGAGGAATTGAACCCAGGGCCTCAGGCATGCAAGGCAAGCGCTCTACCACTGAACCACCTTCCCAACCCCAAGACTTTTATCTCCAATTAACCAGCAAAAAGTCAGCACGGAGCTGCGGCTCAAGTAGTAGTGTGCCCATCTTGAGTGAGAAAGCTAAGTGAGGGTGCACATGCCCTAGAGTTCAAGCCCCAGCGCACATACAAAAAGAAAGAAAGAAAGAAAGGTCCACGTTGGCTAGGAGGTGCCCAGCCATAAAAAAAAACAAAAATAAAACAATGCTGCCACCTTCTGGCCAATTCTCCTGATACACTAGCCATAGCTCCCATTTGCACCACCAACCAGACTGGGGCTGGGGAGGAAAAAAGATCTCAGTATGTAGATTGTCCTGGTCTCACTTCCAGCCCTGGTCTATGGGAGTCTGGAGAGAAATAGACTGTGCCAGATGCCTGGGTACACCCTAATTGTTCCGTGGAATGGAAGGCCTAGAAGAGGAAGGCTGGTTTCTATAGGACAGCGAGAAGCTGAGGGTGTTGATGTGAGCTCAGGGTGAGGTGGGGGCCCCTGGATGCGTGGATGGAGGCTTGGGAAGGGTCCCGGGGCACAGCGACATCTTGCCTGTAAGAACTGCTCATCCGTTCGGTTGTCGAGCAGCATGTGGAGCCACACACTGTCCCCTTCCAGCTTCATGAGCCGGCTGTGGTTCTGCTGAATGGCGCGGTCCAGCTTCCTCAGGGTGACAGCCTCTTCTTTCTCCACAAAATCCAAGACCTTTGTCTGCAGTTGTTTGATCTCATGGATGATGTCAGAGAAGCAGATGTTGACCTCATCACGAACTGTTTGGATCAGCTTCTGGGGTGGGTGCAGAGAGTCAGGACTGAGCTCCGCTCCTGTTCTCTGCTATTTACCATCCAGAGCCAATCTGGGCATCCTATCTGTCTACCTGCCCCTCTCTCCTCCATATCATCTCCCCACCCCACCCCCCCAGCCTAATGCAAGGCTCTGGGGCAGCCTGGGTCTGGGGTGGGGAATGGGTAGCCCTTACTGTGAGAAAGGCTACCCGCCCTTGGTGCTTCTGGCTGTCAGAAGCAATGATCAACATCTGGTTGTCCACGTTAGCCTGGACTTTCCGAACTTCCACCTGCACGTGGGGTGGGGTAGAAGAGAGAAAGAAATCTTTGATTCAGAGAGGGAGCTCAGAGAATACCCTAGACCAGAGAGGCAGAGCAGACACATCTGTCCAAACACAGAACAGCTATACCTTTTTTCATGTATCTGCTTGGCTTCAGTAAGAATGAGACCAAAGCAGAAAAGTAGAGCCCTCAGGTATGCTCCTCTGTTTTGACTTCTCAACCCCTGAGAATTCCCCCCTTCTCCCCCCCCCCCCCACATTGACAGTGATTTCAAGCCACAGAAAGGGGCTGGTTCAACAACTTGAGATAGTCAGGTGGTACGGAGGCCAGACACACAGAAGGAATGCAATCACCTTCCCTTGTCTCCACCTCTTCCAGCCATGGTAATACAAAACAGAACAGCATTTTAAGTGCCTGTCTATGCTACTCTGATTGTAAATGGATCCTGGGTTTCCTTCTTCAAGAAGGCCTTGCAGTGTGAAAATTGTCACTGTACTCTGTTGTGCTTAGTAATAAAACTGTCTTACCATGGACTACTGATCAGTGGCTTTGCCATGGAATCTAAATGCCAAGAATTTTGCTGTAAAAAGCAAGACATGGCCCACACCTGTAATCCTAGGGGGCTGAGATGTGAGGATGTTGGTTCAAAGCCAGTCTGGGCAGGAAAGTATGAGACTTTTATCTCCAGTTAACCACCAAAAAGCCAGAATGGAGTTGTGGCTCAAGTGTCAGAGTGCTAGCCTTGAGCAAAGAAGCTCAGGAACAGAGCTCAGGCTCTGAGTTCATGCCCCAGGCCCGGCACAAAGAGAAAGGAAAAAAAAATGAAAGGAAGGAAGAAAAGCAATATAAGTTGGGCACAGGTGGCTCCTGCCTGTAATCTTAACTACTCAGGAGGCTGAGATCTGAGGATCGTACTTCAAAGCCAGCCTGGGCACAAAAGTATGGAAGACTTATTTCTGATTAACCAGCAAAAAGCTGGAAGTGGAGCCGTGGCTCAAGTGGTCAAGTGATAGCCTTGAGTGAAAAAGCTAAAAGACAGTGCCCAGGCTCTGAGTTCAAGCCCTAGTACTGGCACCAAAATAAATTGTATATATAAGTATATAATATATAAATACATATAAAGTATATGCACACAGTATACAATAACTTGAAAGTGGAGGAAAGAAGGGGAGGACATGTGTTTGCAATCATCATCATCATCATTTTTGTTGCCCGTCACGGGCCTTGAACTCAGGGCCTAGGGTACAGTCTGCGCTTCTTTGGCTCAAGATCTAGCGCTCTACCTCTTGAGCCACAGCACCACCTCGGGCTTCTTTCTGTGTTTGTGGTACTGAGGAACCGCACCCGTGGTTTCATGCATGCTAGCTTCCCCGCCCTCGTCGTTATTATCATTCTAGGCAGGTTCTTAACTGCGGGGCCTGCGCTACCCAGGCTCCAGCCCGCCCACCCCGCCCGCGGGAGCGTGATGGACAGCGGGGAGTCCCCGCCCCTTCCGGGGGCCGCGCCTACCTCCTTCAGGGAGTCCCCGCCCCTTCCGGGGGCCGCGCCCACCTCCTTGAGCGCGCGCTCCTCCGCCAGGGCCGCCGCGTCCGCGGTCTTGTTCTCCTCCATCTGGCAGGCCCCGCACACGCAGCTGCCTTCCGCGCGGCTGTACAGCCGGCGCAGCTTGCGGTGCTTCCGGCACAGGCGGGTCTTCAGGTCCCAGACGGGCTCCAGCAGCTGGTGGTCCTGAAACACCTGGTCTTCGAAGTGGCTCCGCAGGTGCTTCTCACACAGGGAGGCCACGCACTGCAAGCAAGACTTGACGGACCGCAGCTTCTGCGGGGAGCAGAAGTCACAGGGCACATCCCGGGGGCTCGCCAGGGCCCACAGGGGCCCCGACGCCTGGCCCTTGGCCTGGGTGAAGCAGGCCACCATCTCCCCGAGGACGACATTCTTGCAGAGATTGGGCCTGATGGGGAAGCGCTGTCGGCACTGGGGGCAGTAGTGAGTCTCGCCCACCGCAGTCTGGTGATCCCAGAAGTCATGGAGGCAGGTCATACAGAAGTTGTGGCCACAGGCGGTGGTGATTGGGTTGCAGAGCACGTCGAGACAAATGGGACAGAGGACTTGGTCTCCCAGCATCCGGAGATTGCTATTGTTGCTTGTCAGGGCCTTCCCCGAGGAAGGTGTTCCAGGCCCCGGGGGAGGTGTTTCAGGCTGGGCAGGGAGCTGCGGACCTGGGACCTGGTCCTGGGCTGGCCCTGGAAAGACAGAGCAAAGCTGGACGGAACCGCATCTGGTGGGGTGCTGCTGCCTTCTATCTGCCTAGAGGATCCAGGGCTGTGCCTCCGTGGGACTGTATACCCTGGGACATGTGTTCTCCTTGTCCCATTTCTGAGTGTGTGAGAGGAGAAGCACAAAAAAGATCATGGGGGGGGGAGGAGAGGGAAGGAGTCTGTGGCTCACACCTATAATCCTAGCTACTTAGGGAGGCTGAGATCTAAGGATCAAAGTTTGAAGCCCAAGTAGGAAAGTTTTCTTTCATTAACCAACAAAAAGCTGGAAGGGGGGCTATATAGCTCAAGTGGTAGAGTACAAGTCTTGAGGGACAAAGCTAAAGGACAAAAACCAAACCCTGAGTTCAAGCCCCAGTACTGTTGTACACACACACACACAAAAAGAGAGAGATAGACCAAAGTGTGTGTGTGTGGGGGGGGATCATGAAGAGGCAAAGGAGTTACTTCTTGACACTTGGAAGGAAAGATCACAAGAACTTACGGAAAAGCTTCTGCATGTCAGGGAGAGTTAGAGACTTCACTACCCTGTACCAGAAAGAAAAAAGAACTTCGAATCATTAGGCACTGGCATCTTGCCCCAGCCATACTCACCAGATGTTGGGAAGATCTCCTTCCACCTTGAACCCCACCCCAAATACATCATGGCTCCTGTGGGGGTGGGGCGGGGTGAGTCCTTCTCACCTTTCCCTGTGGTTGCTGTTTTGTGGTCTCCCTGTCAAGTTGGCTCCCCTCCTTAAAGACCACTGTACTTTTGCTCCCTGAGGTCACAATTCAAATGCAGCCACCCCCTCATTTGGCTTGTGATGTCAGCAGGGCAAAGGTGGGCTTGCTTTGGTGCTGATACTCCTGCTGGTGCACAGGCCAATTGTGTTCCAGAACCTTTATCCCAGGAAATGAGGAAGCCACTGGAAGGCAGAGCCACTACAGCTGACTTAATGGCCTCTCATATTTCTGACTAGAGGGGGAAATGGCAGGATCATGGGCTCCTTTATTTCCTCTGGACCCTGGTTCTTTTGTGAATCAACAGGGATGTTGAGGTAAATGGCAGATCGAGGCTCCTCCTTCTTTTTTTGGTCAGTCGGGGGCTTGAACTCTGGGCCTGGGCACTGTCCCTCAACCCTTCAGCCCAAGGCAAGTGCTCTACCACTTGAGCCACTGAAAGTAGCTACTTCCCGTTTTCTGGTGTCTTATTGGAAATAAGAGTCTCACGGACTTTCCTGCCCAGACTGGCTTTGTACTGTGATCTTCAGATCTCAGCCTCCTGAGTAACTAGGATTACAGGTGTGAGCCACAGGCACTCAGCTTTGAGGTAAGATGGTTCTCTGTTAGGCACAGTGGCTTGTGCCACTCTGATCCCAGCTACTCAGGAGGCAGAAATCAGGAGGATCAAGGTTCAACCTTAGTCTGGATGAAAAGTCAGTGAGACATCCCCCCCCCCCATCACAATAAGCTTAGGAGTAGTGGTGTGTACTTATAATTTCAGCTATGTGGGAAGCATTAAGTAGGAAGATCAAAGTCCAGACTGGCCTTGGGGGCAGAAAAAAAAAACAACTCTTCTTGAAAAAATAAAGTAAGCCGGGTGCTGGTGGCTCACACCTGTAATCCTAGCTACTCAAGAGCCTGAGATCTAAAGATTTCAGTATAAAGCCAGTTCAGGCAGGAAAGTCTGTGAGACTTTTATCTCCAATAAACCACCAGAAAACCGGAAGTGGCACTGTGGCACAAGTGGTAGAGTGCCTTGAGCTGAAGAGTTCAAGCCCCATGACCAACCAAACAAAACAAAAAACAGACTAATACACATCCAAATAGCTGTGTGTCACCAGGCAAATCACCTATCATTTTGTCCATGTTTCTTTTTTTTTTGTTGTTGGTCATGGGGCTTGAACTCTGGGCCTGGGCACTGTCCCTCAGCTCTTCAGCTCAAGGTGAGCGCTCTACCACTTGAGCTACAGCGCCACTTCCGGTTTTCTGGTGGCTTATTGGAGATAGGAGTCTCACGGAGATAAGACTTTCTTGCCCGGGCTGGCTTTGAACCGCGATCCTCAGATCTCAGCCTCCTGAGTAGCTAGGATTACAGGCGTGAGCCACCAGCGCCCGGCTTGTCCATGTTTCTTCATCTCAAACATGGGAGTGAAAATAACTCAGAAGGTTGCTGTGGTGACTAAATGGTTCAGATTTCAGAACTTGATGGCCACTGCTTTCTGCTATCAGGCAAGTGGCCACAGGGTTGTGAGGATGTAATCAGAAATGTCTAAAGAAGCAAGCACTAAATCTGTGCTCATACCCAGGCCATTCTCTCAGAGACAGCTTTAGGGAGCCCTTCCCAGGTGACTCCTCTGACTCAATCTACTCTCCCAAGTTAAACCAAGTCCATTCCATTTTCCTCATCCTCACCTGCCCATCACTCCAGGCTCCTCCCCCTAGCACGCGGTATAAATCCTGGTCTACCTTCTGAGGTTCAGCGGTCTCTTTGTTGCCACTCTTCTTGCGTTTTGCACTCCTCTTTAGCTGTGACAGAAGCTTCCTGGCTGCCTCTCTGGTCTACCGTAAGGCTTGGAGACTCAGCTCTAGGATTTCAGGGCTGGCATATCTGCAGATGTGGAGCACCTGGCTGTGTAAGTGCCCATGGGCTCTAGCCCTGGGATGCAGGAGGCAGGCCAGAGCAAGTCTAGAGGACAGAGCCTCCAGGCCTTCTTGCTCCTGCTGGTCATGTTCTTTTCCGCCTTCAGAGTCAAGTTCAAGAGTGCCCTGCCACCATCCATGTTCTTCCTTTGCACATAAGCGCTTGTCAGCAGTTCACCTCAACTGAGCAAAATGGACATTTAAAATTTTATTATAAAGGTGGTGTACAGAGGGGTTACCATTTTATAAGGGGTACATTTTTTTGGTGCCACGCCGACTCCAGTGGAGTCTGCTTAGCATGGGAAACCATCTATCAGACCTAAGATAGGGGCTTCAGAGACCTATCTCCAAGTTTTGGGACTTCACCGAAGTCTACCTTGGAGAATAGGGCTTCTAAGAGGCCTACTCCTGGAAAGGCTGGCAAGCCCCTGGGAAAGATGTGTTTCTGTTCCTGTTTTTCTTTTCTTCGCTGTATAGGAGTGCCTATTAATCTTTTACTGTTTCTACTGCTCTTTGTACTTACTCATTGTCAACGTTCCCTTATTCAAAGCTCTTTCTTAAGAGTGTTGACGACTCCAACATCTGATGAGTGTCTTAAAAATATGACTAATTCACCAGAGTTAAGTGCTACCCTGAAGCCCCTCTTATGGAGGCTAGTAGACAAGTCATAAGCAAATATAAAAGTATTGGGGGTTTCACGAAGTCATTTCAGCCGAAGGAATTTTTTGTAAGAGATTTGCAAAAAGCTGTAGGCGCGGCTAGAAAAAAAAGAACGTATGGCAATTGCTGAGATAACTACTTAGGAGAAAGAACTTCCTACTACTCTCTTTCATTTACTAAGAGACTTGCTAGATCTAAGTCTCCTTGGTGTTTACTATTAAAGAAGGAACAGAAAAGATCTTATGGGACAGTTAAGGCCTCTATAGAAATAAGGTAATGGTTAGTTGGTGACAAACATCAAAACCCATTATATTTCTTAGAGATAAGCCGGAAACAAGTGCCTATCAGGCAACCAGCTGGTGACCGCCCAAGAATGAAGCCCTGCAGCAAGATTATGTAACCTTTTGCCCTTTCTTATGGAGATTTTTGCTATAAAAGTTTGTTATCCTCTGCATTAAATCGCACTCAGCACTCAGCATCCACTCCTCTTGTGTGTGAGTTGTCTGTTTGCCATCTCCCCACCTATTCCAGTTCCTCCCCTAGGTGTCCTCCTTCGTCCCGACAGAACCCGGTCCGGTCCGCGGCATTTTGGAACAATGTTACTAGCTCCCTCATTTTCTACCCGCCCCCCCCCCCGAAAATGGGCATTTTGTAAAGAATGTTTTACTCCTTGATTTGCTAATATGTGCAATGCTATCAGAACAGTACTCAGCCAGAGTGCTGAGGTTACAGGCAAGTTATTCTTTTTCTTTTTTTCTGGTCAGTCATGGGGCTTGAACTCGGCCTAGGTGCTGTCCCTCAGCTCTTCAGCTCAAGGCCAGCACTCTACCACCTGAGCCCACAGCGCCACCTCCAGTTTTCTGGTGGTTTATTGGACCTTCCTGCCTTGGCTAGCTTTGAATGGTGATCCTCAGATCTCAGCCTCCTGAGTAGCAAGGATTACAGTTGTGAGCCACTGGCACCTGGCTAGTCTTACTTTTCTTAACTCATTCTTCCATGCATACACCACCTGGTCACCTCTTTTCTTCCCTGCTCCTCCCTGGTCATCTATCTAAGGTCTCCACACGCGGCCCATCTGTCCCGCCTTCTGTCCCTCAGTACTTTCTGGGCCTTTCGGATTTAGTGAAGTGGAAGGAATAAGGACAGCATATGTCTGGCAATTTCAGCGGGCGCAGCAATGACGCCCTGTGAGGTACTCTTGAGGACGGGGGGTGGGAAGGCCAGCCTGGGAAATGAGCGGGGCAGGGCCAGCGCACGCTGGGAGCCAGCAGTGTGGCACAAACACCTGAGGTCCAGGACTCATATTTGTTTCATATCTTTATTGACAAAAAAAGTCACAGCATTTCAAACTTTGTTCAGACACATGAACAGTAACAAGGGCACCCAAGAGTAACAGGCATGGTCCCAAAGGTCTGGGTCAAAGGCCATGTTGGAGGGTGTGCGTGTCCCTTCCGCCTTACTCCCTCAACCTCACTCTTCCCCCCACACTTGGCTGACCCCAGAGAGAAACGGCACAGCAGATTGTGCAGAGATGAAGTCCTGTTAGAGGAGGCTGGGCCCACACGGCCAAGTCAGGGGCCAGGTTCCGAGGAGAGGGGACAGCAGCACTCTGGGGCCCAGCCAGCATCACCTAGGCCCAGGCTTGGGCAGAGAAAAGGGCAGAAAGATGCTCCCAGTTGGCAGTCCCCGAGGACAGCCCTCCCTCTGCAGTGACCTGCCTGACTCTCCTGGGAAGATACTGAGCAAAACACTCCTCAGAAGCCTTAGAAATGAGTCACCCCAGATCCCAGACTATAGGACTCAACTGACACAGGGCTGTGGTGAGAATGGGAACTTGTCACAGTCCTCTGGGAGACCAGAAATGCCAGTGATACGTTTTGTTTCCCAGAGACCGACTTGCCATTCAGCAGCACTCCAAAGCACTCTAGAAGCTTAACTGAAGTAACAGTGCATCCGCCAGGCCTTTGCTGTCTGCACTCCAGCCTCTTCTCCCCTTCTCGCTGAACTTGGTGGTAGAACTGGTATTGGGGTCACAAGCACTGGCCTGGCTGGAGCCCGGGTGGTTCGATGCCGTTAGGTAGAGGGACAAAGGCCTGTGCCATAGTGAGGAGGCTCAAAGCCCCAAAGTGTTTCTCTTCCCAGTCTGACCTCACCTGCTCTTTCCAAAGTCCTGTGTCCTGTGGACAGAGCAACTCTTCCTGCATTTTACTTCTTTCCACCACAGCCAAGCTTGTTTTCCTGAAAGGCAGGCCGGACAGAGGCCTGCGACCCTGCGGAAGAGGTGACGGGCTCCTGCAGCAGGAGGCTCATCTACTGTTGTAGCTGTACGAACACTTCTGTACTCACACTGTGATGGCACGCAGGTGCAAACACGCTCACAATTCTATGCTACGCTACAGACACACACAAAGGACAAAGTGAGAATGTGCAAGAAAAATGAACCCAGCTGGGCATGGTCAGCCAGGTGCTTAAAACACTTCCGGCAGAGTGGACAGATGTCTCTTGAAGCCCTGGTGAGCAGCTGGGTGTTGGGACTGCAGAGAGCCTGGGCATCGAAGGCACCCAGGGTACCGGGCAGTGCCAGGCCAGAGCCAGCTTTTACAGATGCTCTTTCTTGGGGTCCCCTGCCCTGCTCCACATGTACGCCATTTGGCTCCAAGCTGTCCAGGGGAAATGGCAGTGTCTCTGGCCCTGCCTTCTACAACTGCTCACAAAGACAGGGAAGCTCAGAGACACACAGACCAGCTCTGCAGTTACCACCCCTGGGGGTTTGGGGCACGCTTATCAGAGGGACACTCAGGGATCACCCGCCCAGCAGCCCCCAGGCAGGGCTGGCACAGTCACCAGGGCTGGTGTAGCAAGGCTGGAAACCGGGAGACATACAGTGCTGCCCTGCAGTCAGGGCATGTTCAGGGACAATCACGAAACAGGACGATTAGCTACAAGAGGACAACATTTGGCAACTTGCGCACGTCAAGCCACCAGAGGGTCAGTCCACAAGGTCCTCTCTCTGGTCCAGTTTACAAAACTGACGACGGAAGATGGTCAACGGGTAAGAAGCAGTCAAGCCCACTGCCTGGCTCCTTCATCTGTCCAACGTGGTTCGGGATGCCACCACCTCAAACCTCCCCTCGGGAGCAGGCAGGCCACGTGGGGCCAGCCACTGGGGCACACGGGGCAGTCTCTTGGAGGGGCCACCACCCTCCCCTGCTTTGGAGGATCTCTTTAAAGGAATGTGGGTCTTCCAGCAACAATATCTGCTCCCCCACACCTCAGTTTGGCACACTGAAGCTAGAGCTCTGCATCTCTCACACCCTTCTGTGGCTGCCTAAGAGGGGGAAGAATGGTCAAAGGGGCTGTCAACATCCAGGCTGTACACCAGAGAGACCCGGCTCCACTAAGGACAACGCTCCCTTCCTTGCTTTGGCTTCCTTGGCATTCTAGGCTATTTCCAAGGAACTGGCCTTCATCTCCTTCCTTCAGATCCCTGAAAGGCTCCAACTGGGGACCCAGCCCAGCTGCCATTGTAAAAGTCTGTCATATGTTGGCTAAGAAAACAAAAGCAGGTTTCTGGAAAGCTCATCTGCAGCCAGAGGTGCATCTGCCTTCGGCGGGGTGGGGAATCCTTTGGTTCCGACCAGAACACCTCTCCCCTGGGGGCCAGGCTTGGCTTTGCTTCGCAGTAGCTCAGTTACTGTACAGGTGCAAGATTTCATGTCACAGAACTGCTCTGCTAGATCACTCTCCTTCCCCTCAGGATTCTGAAATATGCGACTGTCAGGTTACATCCGAGACCCTCTCTCCTGAAGAATCTGGAAGTGGAAGAGCAGGGAGAAGGCTGAGGGAAGGAAAGGTCCACACGAGCTGAGGGCATGGCTTGGCAACAGAGCCAGGTGCTGGTTCCCTCACTGCACTGGAACAAGGAAGTGCTTAAAAGATTCAAATCAAAGCCGGGCACCAGTGGCTCACGCCTGTCATCCTAGCTACTCAGGAGGCTGAGATCTGAGGATCACAGTTCAAAGCCAGCCCAGGCACAAAAGTCCATGAGACTTTTTTTTTTTTGGGGGGGGGTTAGTTGTAGGGCTTGAACTCTGGGTCTGAACGCTGTTCCTCAGCTCTTCAGCTCAAGGCTAGCACTCTACCACTTGAGCTACAGCGCCACTTCCAGTTTTCTGGTGGTTTATTGGAGATAAGACTTTCTTGCCCGGGCTGGCTTTGAACCACGATTCTCAGATCTCAGCCTCCTGAGTAGCTAGGATTACAGAAGTGAGACACTGGCACCCAGTCCATGAGACTATCATCTCCAATAAATCACTCAGAAAACCAGAAGTGGCACTGTGGCTCAAGTGGTAGAGCACTAGCCTTGAGCTGAAGAGCTCAGAGACAGCACCCAGGCCCAGAGTTCAAGACCCATGACTGACCAAAAAAAAAAAAATTAAATCATAGCAAATATTCTAATTGCAGTAGAATGAAGTTTGAAATCCATCAGGAAACCTGGGTACTGTGGCTCAAGCCTGTGATCCTAGATACTGAAGACTGGGGGAATTGTGGTATGAGGCCAATTTGGGCCAAAGAAGTGAATGAGATCCCATCTCCATCAATGTTCGGGCACAGTAGTATGCACGTATCATTCTAGTAATCTTAGCACAAACAGAGGATCACAGACCAGGCTTGCCTGGGCATAGAGCAAGGCTATTATCTCAAAAATAAGCAATGCTGAAGTGCAGGTGTGGTTCAAGAGATAGAGCACCAGCCTTGAGTGGAAAAAGCCAAAAAAGAGCACAAGGCTTTGAGTTTAAGCCCCAGTTCTGGCACAAAACAAGCATGCAAACAAACAAATCATAATAATAAAATAATAATGCAAAAAGGGTTTGCAGAATATCTTATGTGCTAGAACACCTGACTAGCAAGTGTGAGGCCCAGTATTCAAATGCCATTCAGTACTGCCAATAAATATTAAAATATTAAATTAATAATGAAAATGTTTGAACAAAGGGATGACCCTGCCTAACTATTTCCACAGGCATCTGTGAGCACGTGGCCCTGGGTCAGCCGAAGCAGCAGGGCAGGCGGAGCCCCTGCCACACTGAGCGCCTGACTGCAGAAGGCCTGCCTGCTAAACACAGCAGGCCCTGAAGTTTGTGTACGGTTGGGCCTGCTTTCCCATGCTACAGGACCAGGCCAAGGTCACCACTGACAGATAGTTCAGAAGCGTGTGTGGGACACAGTGGAGGAGAAGGTAACAGCCTAAGACAAGTTCAACTCTCTCCTCTAAGGCCCTGAAAAGAACAAAGGTGGACACTTTCCCCTTCTCTCTGGGTGGCCACCATCATCGCCATGAAGCCCTTCTTTTGCTGACTTGACAGAGGCTGGAGAATCCACCCTGACAAACCTGTGGCTGCTCTGAGCCCTGGCACAGGAGGGAAGTGCACAGTGGCTGCAGGGGCAGGGCAGAGGAGCAGCTCTGAACACAACCTGGGGAAGCTGAGGGTCCCACCACCCCTGGACTATGTGGTCCAGGCTGGCCCTCAACTCTCTGGATTCTCAGGAGTAGGCCTGGCTTTTTCTTTCTTACCTTTGCCTTTTCACTCGGCTCTATGACAATGCCGTTGGTAGAATTATTTAGTTCTCTGGAGACGACACAGAGGAATTCTGCCTGGTCCTCATTTCCATAGTTATAGGAGGAGCCGATGCTGATTAGCTGACAAAAGAAGAAAATGGTAACCATGTAAACAGTGGTCTTCTAACAGTCAAGCGTGCTGGGCACTGGTGGCTCACACCACCAGGAGGCTGAGATCTGAGGATAGCAGTTCAAAGCTAGCCCAGGCAGAAAACTCTTCAGGAGACCCTTATCTCCAATAAACTACTTAAAAACTGGAAGTGGCACTGTGGTTCAAGTAGTAGAGTGCTATCCTTGAGCACAAAGAGGCTCAAAGACAATGCCCAGGCCCTGAGTTAAAGCCCCACAACTGACAGGAAAAAAAGAAAAAGAAGAAGTATTCAAGTGCCTCATAAATCACATGCCCTCTGACTGGACTTGATAATTTTTTGTCTGGAAGAGGAAGAACTCTCTGCTGAGCCAGGGGAGTAACGGCCTCTGCTGTTCATCAAGACACTAAGAGTGAGGCTTCCCTAAGAAGAAAAGCCGGAGTCCCACCCTTGCCCCTTACCCAAGAAATCACAAAGCAGCAGTGAGCAGCATACAATCACTCTCCCTCTGCAGGTCTCTAAATGAGCACGGACATCTGCTTCAGCCAAAACAGAACTGGCTCATCAGAAAGCAGGAGTCTGAGACAAGAGACTGTGGCGCAAGGTGGAAGGTTCTACGTGAACCAACGGCGTGTGCTGCTAGTACTCGTAACTCTTGGAGAACGGAATTCAGAATTGAGTTCTAAAGGGAGAAGCTGAGTTAGAGAGCAAGGGCTTCCTCCCAGGCAGGCAAGGCCTCAAGTAGGAAGACCCCAGCTGTATGATTAGAGGGGGGGGGCTCCCACTCTGCTGTATGATTAGAGGGACCCCTTGCCCTTCTGTGTGACCGAGAGGGCACCTCACCCTGCTGTATGACTGGGGGGGCACCTCACCAACCCCCATGCCCAACCTTGTCCATGCCATAAAAGCATGGTCCAACCCCCATGCCCAACCTTGTCCATGCCATAAAAGCATGGTCCTCCATGGGGTGTCCTCCACATGGGAAAACAACGTAAGAGCTGGGGTACAGCGCAGTGATAGAGCATGCGCCCACCAGCTCACCTGAGGCCCTGGGCCCATTCTCAGCATATTCTTTGCTTCAGGGAAAAAGGCTAATGGAGTGGAGACCAATCAACTCTAGGCAGTGCTTTGCGGGCACAGGGGCAGGACTGCCGCAGAAGCAGGCGGGGAGCAGTCCAGCACTGGCTCTGCACGGGAACTGTAACCTAACAGTAATTCCACAAACTCCAACTTTTATCTTTGTGGGTGAGTTTATGGTGACAGTTTAGCTGGCCTCTTCAACTCTTTACAGCAACTGGCACAATCCATGTAAAATATTTTCCCAATAGCCACTCAGCCTTCCTGTAACTTTGAAGAGAAACAATCCTGCCACCTAGTGGAAGAAGAGAGCAACGCCCAGACTCAGTGGGCTTGGTTCTGACGGGGAGAATGATGGGAGGGGAAGTGGCACTGTGGCTCAAGTGTAGAGCACTCACCCTGAGCTGAAAAGCTCGGGGACAGCGCCCAGGCCCAGAGTTCAGGCCCCACAACTAACCCAAAACAAAACAAAACAAAACAAAACACCACATAACAACAACTTGTGAAAAAAAAAATAATGATGGGAGGGGACCACATTCTGGTTCTTGCTGACCCTCCCAGTAAAGGTTTAAGGTGGCTGGTTTACACATCAGAATTCAAAATCTCTCCCCGGGGCTTGTTGTTGAATCTGTCTTCTTTAGGGACTCATTCTAGAATATGCCAACAAAATACTTGTGGGAAGGAAAAGCAAAAGGAGGGCTTTCTGGCCACAGACCAGCACTGTCAAGTTCAAACTCTGGATGCAAACAAAGCTGGTGGATGTGGCGTCTCTCCGCCGCCATCACATGCTACTGGACGAGTGGTGAACACCAGTGGCTCTCTCTTCCCACCCCTCCCAGGGTACTGACTGGCTGGTGACGGTGGAGCTGTGCCCTCCCCTCCCCACGATGAAGTCCTGCCTAGGGTTGCTGCTCTTTGAGATGTTTACCTGCTCAAATTTCCAGCCGTCAGACATGGTGGAGACCATCTGTGTGAGCTCCTCCTCTTGACACTGCAGGACCCTGTACACGTGCTTCACGGGGCCCTGCAACAAACACACAGGCTAAGATGAGCAACGCTAAGAACACGATCATTTACTCTCTCTGCCCACCCACATGCCTCCTCCACAAACAGCACTGTGGCTTCCCAATGACCGCTCAGCCAAGGGCCCAAGAACACAGATCAGTGGGCAAAATAATTCTGAACTTTGGAAGGCTGAATTACACATGAGCAATCATGTTAACAAACTCGGATTTCATCATTTCACCAATTAGTTTGCATGAAACAGTCACATTTTTTCTGAAGTGGTTTATATCTGATTTATATCTTAAAGTGAATGTTATGTATTGATTTCCCCCCTTATCCTCCCTGTTCATCATGGGGCCTGAACTCTGGACCTGGGTGCTGTCCCTCAGCTCTTCAGCTCAAGGCTAGTACTCTACTACTTGAGCCACGGTGCCGCTTCCAGCTTTTTCTGCTTATGTGGTGCTGAGGAATTGAACCAGGGCCTCATGCATGCCAGGCAGAGTCTCACTAAGCCACCTTTCCCAGCCCCATATATTGCTTTTTATCTACACTGATATGAATGGTAATAGGAATAACATCAATATGTTAAATTTATCAAAGAGGAAGCATACTATGTACAAATCCCAAGGTATTTTTACCTCTGCTGATGCTACCTAAGAGTGCTTCAGGGTTAAACATTAGCATTCCTGTCACAGAAGTACGGTATAATAAAATATAAATATTAGGGTTTTGTCTCATCCTGAGCAGAGCTCTTTAAACCTTTGGAATTTCCTAATAAGAGAATCTTGGTAGGTGTGATTGTATCTGCCTGTAATCTCAGCACTAAGGAGGCTGAGGCAGGAGGATTGTGAGTTCAAGGCCAACTATTAACTACACAGTGAGACCCAGTCTCACATTAAAACAAAGCATTGCTCAAGATGTACTGTACTTATAAACTGATTTGTTCAACTGCAACCCCTTTGTACAACTACTAAAAGAAAAAAAAAGAAAGTCTTTTGAGGCTGTGTGTAGCTTAATCGCAAACTTTGTCTCAAAAAGCCTAAAAAATAAAAAGACAAATCCTCTGAAGTTTTCAGTGGTTCTATCACACACTTGGGAATTAACCAAAATTATATTACAAACTTTAGAGCATCGCAATGACCTATGACATCTGAGAGCTGCTACATTGCCTACTCTCTTTGCTTGCTATGAAAAGCACCTGCAGAACGTATTAATGGAGACAGCCAAGGAGCTGGAATAGTGGCAGCCACTAAGAGATAAGCAGCCCTCACAAGAGAGTGGGTTATGACCCCTACATCTTGGGCTTTGAGCGACTTCAGACAAGCCAAAGGCAGTAATCTTTGAAAATCCAAACAGAGCCAACTTCTTAGAATGACCAGTGACAAGAGGAAAAGAGGTCCTTTGAACAAAATCAAATCCATTCCTCAGCGTTTCACTCAATGAAGAGGACAGATGGAAAGATCAATTAACATCAAAAAGGTCTTGACATTCCTAGAACAAAAAAGCTTCCAACTGGGTCTGAGTCCATGAGCCTTCAGAAACTAGAGAACTAATTAAGTGAATTGCTATGATCAAATAGAAACCTTATAATAATGCTCTCAAAGAATTAACTGATGGCAAAGAATGTACAATGTTCAGGCTCCATGATTTGAATGATTTCAAATTATGTAATTGATAGTAACATCAAAATTTCTATGAAGCAATCCAGGTTTTCAGAATATGGAAAATTGAGATATAAGCTACCTTTCCACAATGTCGAAAGCATTAAGTGCCTATAGCAATAAAATATGCGTGGAAATGTAAGCCCCTGATGACCCTAGCTCATGGTTCCCCATGGTAATCCACACATCAACACATGCTGATCTATGGTAATCCACACATCAACACATGCTGATCTATGGTAATCCACACATCAACACATGCTGATCTATGGACATCAGGTTTTCACGAGGTGTGAGGCTCTTAGTTCAATTCTAGTTCCCTTAAAAAAAACATATGCCAGGGCTGGGAAAGTGGCTCAGTGGTAGAGCGCTTGCCTTGCATGCCTGAGGCCCTGGGTTCGATTCTTCAGTACCACATAAGCAAAAAGAAAAAAGCCGGAAGTGGCACTGTGGCTCAAGTGGTAGAGTACTAGCCTTGAGCTGAAGAGCTGAGGGACAGCGCCCAGGCCCAGAGTTCAGGCCCCACGACCAGACCCCCCCCCCCCCAAAAAAAAAAAAGTATGCCAGGCACTGGTGGCTAATCAGGAGGCTGAGATCTGAAGATCACAGCTCAAAGCCAGCCTAGGCAGAAAAATCTGTGACACACTTATCTCCAATCATCAAGAAGCTGGAGGAGCTGTGGCCCAAGTAGTAGAATACTAACCTTGAGCCCAAAAGCTTATGGCTAGCATCTAGGCCCTGAGTTCAAGCCCCAAAACTGGCACCAAAAAAAAGTGTTCAGCAGTTGATCCTACGGTGGCTATTCAAATGCATGCTGAAAAACATGTGAAATAAGCCAAGTCCATCCGATCATCTCTCCTTCCTCAACATAGACAGGAAACTCTGTTTCATTTCTACTGCTATGGCCACTGCGTTAATATAAAAATCCAGCCAGGCTCACACCTGTATTCCTAGCTACTCAGGAGGCTGAGATCTGAGAATCACAGTTCAAAGCCAGCCCGGGCAGGAAAGTCCGTGAGACTCTTATCTCCAATAAACTACTAGAAAACTGGAAGTGGCACTGTGGCTTAAGTGGTAGAGTGCTCGCCTTGAGCTGAAGAGCTGAAGGACAGTGCCCAAGCCCAGAGTTCAAGCCCCACGACCAACCAAAAAAAAAAAAACCCATACATGATAACAGAAAAGAAGCCTGGTATTATATTTTCAGCAGCACAATTCACAGCAGGTTTCAGGAGGGTCACAGGAGATAAATGCCACATGATCACAGGCTAAAGGCTCATCCTGACAAAGGGCAGCCAAGAGATGGAAGCAAGACGTTGGGCTTCGTGTCAAAGGAGATACTCTGTCAGGGAGAACGGGCCTGGCACCTAATGTGCCCAGCCTTGAGTTCCTCCCTCTACCGGGCAGCCAGCACTGACAAGCTCTCCTTAGGGACACGGGCTCCTCAGCTTTCTCCTATTTCTCCTTCATATCTTAGCTCTAAACAACTCTGGCTGCGAATGTTCCATCTGTTCAGTGGACTGACAGGGCTCTACCCTGACCTACAGATCTGAGGGGAAAGGGATCCTTTTCAAATCATACCCAGACAGACAGACACACAGACACACAGAGGCACTGGAGATGTTTTTCCCATAGCAGTTCAAAACACCTTACCTGTGAAGTTCTGTTCTCATTGTCTCGTATCCTTTCCTTGACCAGCCGCACAAGAGATGCGATATTGTAAAACTCGGCTTCTTCCAGCACACCTAGAACAAGGACAAGACTGTAGTGAGACACTTGTGATTTCACCAGGACACCAGCAGTAAGATGGCTAAAAGCGTGTTTTTCAAGCACACATCTAGTCTCTCCCTGAGCACAGGGTTGGTCTGCTCTGCTCACTGTCTCCTCCTGGCGCAGGCCCATTAGCTGCGGGTACCTTTTCCATATGTCACTTGGTTCCGGGAGCTAGTCACACTGGACACCTCCTGAGCTTGCAGTTTTTATCCAGTTGGCTCTAAAAAGGACTGGCAGACAGATGCATGGATGCAGAATTATAGGGATCAAATTTAATAGGATACTTGTTATTTCGGCAATTTTCAAAGTCAATCAGGGCAGGGAATGTAGCTCAGGGCAATGCTTGCCTAATAGGCACAAGGCCCTAGGGTGGCCCAGCTAGAAAATAGATAACCAAATAATTTTTTAAAGGCAATAAATCATTGAAAGATTCTCATGCTAAATAAAATAAAAAACCTCGTATAGATCAAGCATGGGATGAATGCTCTTGTACCAGGAAAAATATTGTTACCAAAAGGTAATTACTGCCAAGCACTGGTGGCTCATGCCTATAATCCTAGCTACTCAGGAGGCTGAAGTCTGAGGATCGCAGTTCAAAGCCAGCCTGGGCAGGAAAATGTGTGGGTTTTTTTATTTTTGTTTTTGTTTTTGGTGGGTTATTGGGCTTGAACTCTGGGCCTGGGCACTGTCCCTCAGCTCTTTAGCTCAAGGCTAGGGCTCTACCACTTGAGCCACAGCACCACTTCTGGTTTTCTGGTGGTTCACTGGAGATAATAGTCTCACGGACTTTCCTGCGTGGGCTAGTTTTGCACCTCGATCCTCAGATCTCAGCCTCCTGATTAGGATTACAGGTGTGAGCCGTCAGCACCTGGCAATTATTATTACCTTTGTATGAGTTTGGAGTGTTTGAACTAAGCCTCAAGCTTCTGGGCAGGCACTGTTACCAAGTGAGCCATACCTCCAGTCCCTTTTCATATTTCTTATTTTCAGGGTATTATCTTGCTTTATGTCTGGGCTAGCCTATGCTTGGGCTAGCCTGGGCTTTGATAACTCCTACTTGTGCCTCTGAGTGTCAATACAGATGAAGGTGTGTGCCACTGTATTCAGCCTTTGTGCTTCCTGCCCCTGGAGCAGGTATAACTGATGTACATCACCAAGCCCAGCCACTGGCTGAGACAGAGTTTCAAGAATGTTTTCTGTTCGGCTGGGCTTGAACTGCAATCCTCCAAACCTCCCCTCCCAAGTAGCTACAATGATAGCCTTGAGCTACCTTACCTGACTGAGAGCAGGAATCAGAGTGAGAGCAAGAGAGGGAGAGAGAGCAACTCTGTTACCAGCTGAAAGAGATGTTTATTTCACTAATGAGGACAGCCACTGCAAGCTTTCTGGCTTAGAGCAATCACTCAGGGTGTCCTGGATCCAAGGAAAGGCCCCCATTTTCCACAGAAGGCCTCCAGGGACACCAAACCAAGCCTTTAGAAAGAGGTCCAGACCCATTTACAGCCTAAACACTCTACAAACCAGTAATACACTTGACAATGTCCTGGAGAATGAATTAGGTCAGCTGCAAAAATGTACAGGGAAGCATGAGACCAGAGTCTTAAAAAGAAATGAGGCCAAGCCTTTATCTTTTTTTTTTTCAGTTGCAGATTCAAACTAAAATTGAAAACATAAATAACCAGATGGCAGAGAGTAGTGCTTCAGGCAATAGCCATTCACCACCAGCACATAAACAGATAGATGTAAGTAAAGATAGATGTTGACAGCCGGGCGCTGGTGGTTCACGCCTGTAATCCTAGCTACTCAGGAGGCTGAGATCTGAAGATTGTGGTTCAAAGCCAGCCCAGTCCATGAGACTCTTACTTCCAATAAACCACCAGAAAACTGGAAGTGGCACTGTGGTTCAAGTGGTAGGTAGAGTGCTATCCTTGAACTGAAAAGCTAAGGGACAGCACCCAGGTCCAGAGTTCAAGCCCCATAACTGACCAAAGAAAAAAAGAAAAAAAAAGAAGATAGTTGTTGACAACTGTGCAGGTTTGAATGAAAACTACTAAAGCTGTCTGCAAAGCAAGCTACCCATCCTCCTTCTCACTGCGGAAGCTGAGTAGGCCCAGTGGATCTTTCCTCAACACAATTCTTTTAAGACAAGCCTAGGTAATTGACAGCTCCCTGTCCATTTTTTTTTTTTTTTTTTTGCAGGTCATGGACCTGAACTTGGGCCTGGGCGCTGTCCCTCAGCTCTTCAGCTCAAGGCAAGCGCTCTACCGCTTGAGCCACAGCGACACCTCCGGCTTTTTCTGTTTATGTGGTGCTGAGGAATGGAACCCAGGGCCTCATGCATGCAAGGCAAGCACTCTACCACTGAGCCACCTTCCCAGCCTTCCCTGTCCATTTTCATAAACCTGTATGACCCACCTGCACAGGAGCCTATAAAACTTCAAACTAAACTCAAGGCTGCGAGATAGCTTAATTGACGTGAATTTTGAAAAGGCTCAGGGCAAATGGTGCTTACCTTCTTCTGCCAACTCCTTAGTAATGATGAGTTTCCCGTGGCGGAGGTAGTTTAGGATAGGACCGAAGTAGGTGGGGTCTCTGTCAATCAGATACGCTCCAGTCTCATCCTGCCAACCAAGCACAAGGAGTCATTGTGAAGCTTTCAGGAGCATTTTAAAACTGAGTACTGTTCTCGTCTTTGCCAGTGCCCTGAGACAACAATTCATTCCACCAACTAAGTTTTATAGTTAAGCCTGGTGTGGTGGCATAAGGCTATAATGCCAGCACTTAGGGTGGCTGAGGCAGGAAGATACCGAGTTAGTTGACCTAATTCATTCTCCAGTTTGTCAGGTGACAAGTGGTCTGGCAGGTGGTAGCCAGTCTGGGTTACGTAGTGAGACCTTGTCTCAAAAAACAAAAACAAAGCAAATAAACCTCTATATAGTGTATGCAGATGGCTCATGCCTGTAATTCTAGTTACCCAGGAGGCTGAGATGTGAGGATTAAAGTTTGAAATCAGCCCAGGCAGGAAAAATCTGTGAAACTCATCTCTAATTAGCTACCAAGAAGCCTGAATTGAAGTGTGGCTCAAGTGGTAGAACTCTAGGCTAAGAAAAGTACCCAGGCCCTGATTTAAGCCTCAGTATTGGCACATGCATGAACACAAGCACACACATGTACGCATACATCACCACCACACACACACATACATAGACACAAAGATAAGTTTTATTACACATTTGCTTATTGCAAACTCTGGACCCAGAAGATAGCTTTTGGCATCTTGTGCTTTAAGATCATTTCAGGTCAGGTGTCAGATGCACAGTCATACCCAGATTATTTACTGGCTTAAATTTCTATGATCTTTGGACAACTACCAACATTTTTGTGGTTGCTGGATTCAGGCTATGAGAAGGAAGAAAATGCCACGGCTGTGTGTTTTAGATCTGTGATTCAGATAGATAATATTTTTCTATTGCCCCTGGACCTCATTCCTAATTCTAAGAAAACCTGTGTTCAATTGGCAACCCTCCTTGAGTTCAAGGCCAGTGGGAGTCTGCACTGCCAGCTGTAATCTTACACACCCTAGCTCTGTGCCCAGAGGAAGCGTGGTACTGCCAGGACTTGGCTCTGAGCAGCTTTAATCCTACTCATCTTTACAGTAAAAGGAACATGAAGAAACTGGCTTATAGAGCCATAAGGAAGATCTAGAGTATACAAAAATAATTCCTTCATCAAAATGGGTTCTGGAATCCTGTGTGTGTGTGTGTGTGTGTGTTGGTCCTGGGACTTTAGGGTCTGAGAGCTATTCCTGAGGTTTTGTGCTCAAGGATAGCCCTCTACCACTTGAGCCACACCTCCACTTTCAACTTTTGGATGGTTAACTGGAGATAAGAATTTCAGACATTCCCATTCCATTTGGCTTCAAACTGGTGATCCTCAGATCTCAGCTCCCTGACTAGCTAGGATTACAGGTGTGTGCCCTCCAGCACCTGGCTTTGATACCATCTATTAAGAGATGGATAGACGAAATTGATAAAAGTATATGCAGCCCTGGCTGTGTCTTCAGATAACCTAAGGATGAACCTGCATACGTTGAAATGGTTTGTCTTTTCACTTCTTTATCCTTTAGTATCTCGCCCAACAACATTCCCAGGTCCTCATTTTCCCCAGCTCTTGGCAGGTCAGCTTATATGTGTAGCGGGCAAATGTCACCTTTTTCCCAAGGACGCATTTGATCTCAAATACAGACCTAAACACTGACTGCTATCACATACACGTCCCGGGACCAGAACTTTGGGAAAGCCGGGTGCTTTCACAAGCAGCACGTCGTGGAAGCCGTTATCTGACCCAGGCTTGGACTCAACTTTGTATAGGGGTTCAAGAGGAAATCGGAGAGAAAGCTACAAAGATGCCTTCGCTCACCCTGACCCAGTTCTGGATGCATCTGGTACCGGCAGTGAGGGGCTGAAGACAAAGCCAGGGGAAAAATTCACTCATGCAGACCTGGGAGGCTGGGGACGAGGGGCAGAGAATCTGGGAGAGGGGTGTGGATGGGGTGGGCCCTTCGCGGGTGGGCAGGGAGGGGTCAGACGGAAAGCCGGGGCGTGCCTGAGGGTGGGGGGGAGGGGTCCTGGACTCCCGATGCCAGAGGTGGGGGGGGCAGAGGGTAAGGGTCGCGGCCTGAGGGTCGGTCTGGCGACGAGGAGGAAGGAGGGGGTCGGCAGGGCCGGGGGCGCGCCCGAGGGCGGGGCGCACCTTATCCGAGTCCAGCTCCGGGTCCTCCTGGCAGCAGAGGCGGCAGAGGAAGGACTTGGGCTCCCGGCCCAGGGTCTGTCGGGTGGTCACGAAGTAGGTGCCGCCCACGTTCAGCCGGACCCAGCG